GATGATGGAATGGTGTGAATCGTTGGCCTTCTTTCTGTCATAAGGGAATTCTACCAATGAGCTTCCAGAATTCCTGATCCTCCACGGACGGGTTTTGTCGTTGGATTGCCAATAGGTAGCCAACATTTGGAAGAAGAATGTTTTCAAGATGACTTGGATAATAGCGCGTTGTGACAAACACCAGATACAGCACTGGGACTTGATCAACAGCCGATACCGCACCGTGACATCACTAACCAGTAGGTGGCAGTAGTGTTCTTTGACAAACATGGATGCCTCCAGTAAAGCACATTCACATGGAAATTACTCTGAATTAAAAACACCCGTGCAAGCTGCCACCTTAATATAGTGGGACTGTTTGAGTGCACAAATGATCCTAGGAGCTATGTTGTCCGGGAGTTAATGCCCCTTAGTGTCTCTCATGGCAAAAAGGTCCAAGGTGACGAGTCAGACTAAGAGCAGCTCACAAGACCACTATGGATAGTATTAAATCAAGGACTGTGACGCCCACAGGGCCCGACCGGGCTCAGCCCGAACAGACGACGTGGGCCCACCTTCCTGTGGACCCACCACCCGCAGAGGGATTCATAGTGGTCAGGTGCATAGTGGACTGGATGGCAGTCGCGGTACGGTGCCTCGACAGCCCAGTCTGCGCACGCAGCTCCTAGCTGTAGGAACGTGGAATGTCACATCACTGGTGGGGAAGGAGCCTGAGCTTGTGCAGGAGGTTGATAGGTACTGGCTGGATATAGTCCGGCTCACCTCTATGCACAGCTTCGTTTCCGCATCCCATCTTCTAGAAAGAGGCTGGATACTTCAAATCTCTGGCGTTGCCTGTGGGGAGAGGCTGCGGGCTGGGGTGGCCTTGCTCATTGCCCCCATCTCAGTCATCACATGTTGGAGTTTACCCTGGTGAACGAGAGGGTCATGTCCCTACACCTTTTGCTTGGGGACAAGTCTCTCACTGTTGTCTCAGCCTATGGGATCAAAATCAGAGCAGAGTAACCAGCCTTCTTCGAGTGCTTAAGAGGGATACCAGATGGTGCTCCAAGGGGGGAGTGAGGGATCACACTCCTCAGCCTCCCCGGCAAGGTCTTCTCCAGGTCGCTGGAGACGAGGATCCAGCCAATAGTCGAACCTCGGATCCAGGAGGAACAATGTGGTTTTCATCCCGGTCACGGCACACTAGACCAACTCTATACCCTTCATCAGGTGCTCAAGGGTTCATGGGAGTTGGCCCAACCAGAAGTATGGGGTCCGGGGACCTCTGTTAAGGGCTGTCCGCCCTCTTTATGATTGCAGCAGGAGCTTGGTTTGCAGTATTTCAGACCTGTTCCCTGTGCATGTTGGTCTCTGCCAGGGCTAACCTTTGTGATCAGTTCTGTTCATTACATCTAAGGACAGAATTTTTAGGTGCAGCCAGGAACCAGAGGGTGTCCAGTTTGAGAACCTCAGGATAACATCTCTGCTGTTTGCAGATGATGTTGTCCTGTTGGCCTCATCAAACCAGGACCCCCGACGTGCACTGCGGTTTGCAGCCAATTGTGAAGTGGCCGGGATGACGATCGCCACCTCCAAATCCAAGGCCATGGTTCTCCACCGTAGAAAGGTGGACTCCCTTCTTCAGGTTGGTGGAGAGTCCTTGTCTCAAGTGTATCTCAGGGTCTTGTTCACCAGTGAGGGACGGATGGAGCGTTAGATTGATTGACGGATCGGTGCAGCGTCAGCAGTGATGCGGTCGCTGTACCGGACTGTCGTGGTGAAAAGGGAGCTGAGTCTGGGGCAAAGCTCTCGATTTACCAATCAGTCTACATTCCCACCTTCACCTATGGCCATGGGATCTTGGATAATGACCGAAAGGACAAGGTCACAAATACAAGCGACGGGAATGAGTTTCCTTCGCAGGGTGGCTGAGCGCACCCTTCCAGATTGGGTGAGGAGCTCAGTTACCCGGAAGGAGCTCAGACTAGAGTCATTGCTCCTCCAAGTGGAAAGGGGCCAGCTGAGGAGGCTCGGGCATCTGTTCCGGATGCCTCCTGGTCGCCTCCCTCAGGAGGTGTTCCATTGGGAGGAGGCTTGGTGGAAGGCCCAGGACACGCTGGAGGGTGTCGGCTTGGGATCCCCCCAGAGCAGCTGGAGGAGGTGTGTGTGGATTGGGAAGTGTGGGCATCTCTGCTTAGACTGCTGCCTCCGCAACCTGACCCCGGATAAACATTTATTGAACAGTATGTAATCATTTCATATTTAAAGCACTCCCAGAAGTTTGGATTCTGAATATGACCGGACTTTGACCTTTAATGCATTAGAGTAACCAATAGAAATGATGATCTGTGTTTGCTGTTTGCAGGCACCAGAAGGCTTACATCGCCACTCAGGGCCCATTGGCCACAACTACAGATGACCTGTGGAGAATGCTGTGGGAACACAACTCCACCATTGTTATCATGCTGACCAAACTGCGCGAGATGGGACGGGTAAAACAGCTCACATCATCTCACCGAGGTGGAGAGAGGAAACATTTTAGCTCAAAGTAGAAGATAGATCTCGAAATAAAGATGAATGAATGAGCTAAATCAAAGCCTCAGTAGCACCATTTATTCTTCTTATAAATATATTCGGGCTGCAACTAACAATTATTTTAAAAATCGATGAATCAGCCGATTATTTTTCGATTAATCAGACAAAAAATATTTTTAATATTAACCTGAATTAACTCTTCAAAAACGTTCCCCATTTCAATAAATTACTTTCTTTTAGACTAGAAGAGTTCTGCCTTTTAAGACAGGAAAGTATAGCAGTTAAATTTGCTACTTGAGAAAATACTGAACCATAGAGATAAAAATTAATATAAATTTTATTTGGAATAAAAATGTGCTAAAAAACACATCCTCCAAAGACAGATATTTACATGGGAATGTGGCAGATAATTAATTGACATATTACTGATCTTGCTGGATTTTATTCTGCTTCACTTCTATAAATTGCAGGATCTTCTTTACTTTATCTTTTCCAGAAGATTTAAACTTTAAAAGCCTTGCCCTCATAATTTGCAAGTTAATTTATTTATAAAGAAAATATAAACGCTGCTTAAGCTAATTCAAATGAAATTAAAAGTAAAATAAGTAGCCAACCTTCTCACTGTCTGTAACCTACTAACACGGTAAGGAAAGCATCAGATGAGCTACCTGAGAAACTAACGTTACGTTTCCCCACTTTAAAACCAAACAAACATGGCCGCTCACCCTGCTGATCAGCTCTCTTCACTGCCATCGAGGCTCCAAAGTGTTTCCTTTTCAGGTGCTGCGTCATAACAGCGGTGCTTCCGTGCCATGTTCATTCGTTTTTGCAAAAGTTGCATGTTACGACTCTTTACAAAGCCCAAAGTGCCCCCACACTTTAGAGGACTTTGCTCGAACTGTGTTTGCGATATCGGTCATTAGAACAGTTGACGTTATTTTGAAAACAGCCTTTGCTGTGGCTGCGGCTCTGGCTCGCTCTGCCGTTTTTTTCCCCCCCTGTTTAAGTCAAGTGGCAGTGATGACAACGGTGATGGATGAGGCATTAATCTGGCGACACAACTTATCGATGATGAAATTTGTTGCCAACGCTTTTAAAATTAAAATCGTTTTTAATTGATTTTATTGATTTGTTGTTGCAGCCCTAAAATATATATACTTCTTCTGTTTTCTTGGACCAAGTTCAATCATTGTATTTACAGCTCGATGCAGGATGCTTTTCCAGGTTTAAAAACAAGGACGGTCTAATGACTGTGCGGCGCTCTGATCCTCCCAGGAGTTCATTTTAGGCAAATCCAGCTCCTCTCCATTGTGTTCTTTGCTTAGTTTTGCAAGAAGAAGTTGAGATTTGATCCTTTCGATGGTGATGTTCATGATGTCTTTTGTTTCCTTAGTGTGTCAATCATTCAGGTGTAGGGTTGGGAATTGATACGATTTTCATGATTCCAATTCCCTTATCGATTCTCTTATCGATTCTGTAAACAATGAACTTGGTAATTGCACGGTGACATTTGTCTACCTTCAAAAACAGAAGGCAGTGAATGGGAGCTGCCAGTGTCTGATCCAGCCAGGCTACCCGTCTCCTCACAGTCATCTAGATCTAATGGAGAAGGCATCCGTTTAATGAAAAAGCATTATTGTACAATTTCGGGAAATAAACTCATCTCCCCCTGATTTAAATAAACGATCGTCACCTTTCTCTGGCTCCCTGAACTGCGGAGCAACTTCGTAGCGTGTTTAATAACCCTAAAGAGAGGTATGAAACGGGTTTATTTCCAGAAATAGCATCTGATTTACTAGGAACCACATTAAACACAGCCAGTGATATAAAACTAGATACTTACCAACAGAGTTTTCTTCCCTGCTGGTCGTAACTTTAGCTTCTTTCTGGAAGCATTAAACGCGCAGCATTTGTTAAAATGTATGCCATGTTGTATTCCACCGCAGATGTAATTGCCACTTTGCAATGACTGCAAAGCGCCTTGTTGTCATCGTTCTCTTCCTTAAAATGGAGCCAATCTTTCAATCCTTTTAAATGCTTTTGTTTTGCTTTTTTAGACTTACAACTGGTCACGTCGTACTAGCTTACTGAATGCCGTGCGTAAAACAATGTGACGTAAATCATGCTGCCCAGCGCTAGGCTCCTGTGCTGCCTGGAATCTTTAAGGGAATCGTTGAGCGAGCTGCCAAACGGTGCCATGGAATTGGAACACATGGAACCATTTTGGAACAGGAACCGGTTTTTGATTCCCATCCCTTTTAAGGTGTGGAGTTGGATTGAATGGACTTCCTGAGGTGGAGCTGGATGGAGATAACAGGACAGCGTATAAGGATTGTTATGCAGTAAAACTTAACCTTAGATTGCATCAAGCTAAAGAAGCTGAAGGGTTTTACTCAGTAGGAAAACAGCTCTGGCAGAAATAGAGCCAGTGGTTAGTTTGATATAATAATAAAACTCTCTGTTGGACCAGGAGGGTAATTGAAACTGTCTAAGCTGACAGCGAAGTACATATGGAGTGAAAGGAGGAAAAGTATTAGATAATCCCTAGACACAACTGTAATGGAAAAGATGGCCGACCTGCCCACATGACTGAACGGCAGGTTTGTGTTAGAGATAAATGAGTTCCATGCTTGCAGCTCTTTATAACACCTAGAAATAGTTTATATTCACGCTTAAGGAGTTCATGGTCAAGCTGCATAGCATTATCTCAGATGAGACCAGTCATGTTAACCACAGGAGCAGGAAGAGGCGGGGCTTCTACCGACTCCATCCAGCAGAGCTCACAAATCGATGCTTTTTGCTCTGTGCAGGAAAAGTGTCACCAGTACTGGCCTGCTCAGCGTTCTGCACGTTACCAGTACTTTGTTGTTGACCCGGTGGCCGAGTACAACATGCCTCAGTACATCCTCAGGGAGTTCAAGGTCACAGACGCCAGGGTAAGTCCTCACAGTACTGGGACTCAGCCAGAAACCAGAACCTGTTTAACCAGTGAAAATCTGACTGCTAGAATGATGAAGGATGTTTGACGGATGCTACAGTCGCCGCCTAAAGCGCGAGCAGTTTCCTGTGTAGGGGAAAATAATGTTATGAGCCTGATCTTGAAGAGGTCTTAAAACTGACACAAACCTGTTCACACACACAGAGTGAATAGTTCCTCCAAAAAAGTTAAAAAACACTGGACTTTGTTTCCAAGTCTGAAGACGTTTCTCTTCCATCCAGGAAGCTTTTTCAATTCAAAATGTCAGAAATAGTGTTTAGTTCCAGGTTTTATCCAGCAGCCCAACAAAGCCTGGTTTTAGTTTAGAAAACATGCAAATAGAAACGAAGGAACAGGTCCACCCCTTTCGAATGGGGGTCGTTTGGTTTATTTGTTAGCCTGCAATGCCCCATACCTGTCTATGTCTCTGAAAGGGGGGTTGTTAGAGGGAATTGGGGTTGCAATGATGGCGGGAAGGGTCCCTTCTCGCTATCATCGCATCCCCAACCACTTTACAGGGGGAACAGAAGACCCCGCCTATTCAGCCAGACCAACAATGGCCTTTACATAAAGCTGGTCCAGATACATCACCAAAGAATCCTTTTCATTTTCTTTTAATAAACCAAATACAGTGGAATCCGCTTATAGTGGACATGTTGGTCCAGAGCCAAGTTGAACACTATAAGCGGTTGGTTACTATATCCGAATTTACCGTTATTTCACTTATATTTTATGTATAATATCATCTAAATCCCATTGTATGGTTTTTTAATGAGAGAAATGAAATGAAACGGATAGCTTCCGCATTTACTGAATTTTATTACAGTACCATGCAAGTTTAATTACAGTATACTGCACTGTGCGCAGACATAACTCTGGTAGCCTACAGTAGGCCTATGTGACTTATTATGTGCGTCGGCGCTGCTGTGCCGCCGATGCATTTTTTTAACATGTCTGAAAATAAAGTTTGAAACAAACGGTTTCAGAGAACAACAACATAGAAGATAACTGCATAGGCTAGAGAAAATTAAAGCTAGCCTACCTCTGGTTTGTGTTGCGGATCTGCCGTGCTGCATTAAGAAATCACTTCACATATTTATCCATTGGTTCCTGGATCAGACTGTTGTCCAACACAGAGTTCACTTCTTTTTCAAAACGATGAAAAAGGTCAAAGTTTTTGAAACCAACATGCAGATCAGTCTTTGAAAAGCAACAGCATTCCTAATTTCAGCTCTGAAAGAGACAACAGTCTGCTCTTCTTCATCCTTCATTTCCAGTCATGACTCGCAAGCTAGTTCTGGCGGCCCGGTCGTCAACTTTTTACGTTAGCTAGCTAGGCAGAATCAGAAGTCCAGAAAGGAATCATGGGAGTAATAAAATAAAATAAATAGGCTACACCTAATTTTAAAATAATTTTTGCACGTTTACATTCATAAAATGGCCAAAAATCAACACTATAAGAAGATTTTGTGATTACTATAAACAAATTACTTAAACAGCATTTGTATAGAAATGATTACTGTTTACTATAATAGTGACCACAATAACGGATTCCACTGTATATTACGGGTGTAAATCACACCCATCATGGCAATTCGATTCAGTATAGATTTCCTGACCCAACGATTCGATTATTTTCGATACTCAAGAATACACCACGATATGATTCGATTAATTGGTTCATTTTTTTTAACCTTACAGACTAGACAATGTTTCAAATTTGAAATAAATTAATAAAAGCTGTGATATTGTTATTATTTTTTTTTTAGAAACAAAAACAAATAACAGAAGTAGAGAAGTTTTACTCCACCTATTCCTATTAAAACCTCATTCACTGAAAAATAATAATCCCCCTGCGTTATAGATTCTGCAAGGCTTTGCATCAAAAATACTGCACATAATCAATGCAATGCAATACCTCGGCTCCAGACGTCCCGCCCCCTCCACAGACGCTCCGCTGCTCCTCTCCCAGATTGTAGCTGACCGCAGACAGTGCAGCAGACAGGAGGCCGGCTTGTTTTGTTTTTATGACCGAAATTGCAGAAAACCACTCGTGAAGTTTGACCCGCTAGAAGAGAGAGGTGCGCGAGAACGCTGGGACCCTTTTTTCCACCTGGATCTCTGCTCTTTTTGGCCCTCATGTCCCTCCGTCGTCGGACTAAACTCGCCCCCACTTCCTCGCCGCCTCGGCCGTATCTAGACCCACAGCGTGTAGCGCAGACCACGCTTCAATATGGAGCATAAATCAAAACTGTCTGCATCAAGCTCACTGCAACACACTGCTGCAGGAGTATAACCAGGAAGCGAGGTAGGAGGGCAAAATAGGTTTAGCGCCACCGCAGCACGGGAGGGAGAATTACGTCCAGGAGCAAATGGATAAAAATAGACCGGAGGAAAAAAAAAAAACATGAATCGATACTATTGCGGACGTATCGATGCATCGGATCGTTGGCTGTTGGATCGATGCATCGATACAAAACGATTATTATTTACACCCCTACTGTATATAGATATTACAGTAGCAACCATTCAAAACGACCCTTTCCAGTCAAACGCCAGTCAAAAGGCAGCCCAATGTCAGCTGAATGGCAGCAAAATCCCCTCCAACTTCCAGCCATTGGACGTCTCCTGGGCATGCATATTTTTACTCTGACTCCACTCTGCAGCTCTGGGCAAGCTGAGCCTGTGCTGACGTCACAAGTACACTTCCGTTCCAGTTGACCTATATCTATGCTGCGTGCTCCCGTTTTCGCCAAGTCCAGACTTTCCTGTGTTCTTGCCAAGACCAGACCTCACGAGAACGCAAGTCCGTACTTGCGTTGTCGTGAATTGAGAAAGGTTTCCGTGTCTGGCCAGGGGACTGCCATGATTTTCCCTTCATGTGTTTAAAACGTTCTCTGAATGAAAATCTTACTTTTCTTATTTGTTCATAACACTTTGAGATCGACTCTATATACATTTTTAAAAAGCTATGATGATTATTACCTTCATGGTTAAGAACCTAAACTTTTTTTTATGATTAGTAACCAACATTTGTGAAGAGGTCTTTGTTGATCACACACAACTAACTTATTGCAAATGCAAAAAATGAAAGCACATAGTTGTTAGATCAGGTCATAGACTTCTCTGAACAGGCAAGAATTCAATTCTATTCAGTTTATTTCTGTAGCTCCAATTCACATCATGTCATCTCAGGTCACTTTCCAGTTCACCAGATCATCCAGTCAGATTGATTCAAAGTTTTATATCTAAGGAAAACCAGCTGATTGCATCGACTCATTGAATCTTCAGCAATCCCTCACACTAAGCATGCTTGTAGCGACAGTGGAGAGGACAGGAAGTTTTTCTGAAATTCCGTTACTTAAAGTTTTTTTTAGCTTAAATGTGAACCCTTTTAAAGAATGTTAGTGGTGTGTATTTTGTGCCGTTCCTTTCCCTCCTTTAGGACGGCCAGTCGAGGACCATTAGGCAGTTCCAGTACACTGACTGGCCGGAGCAGGGAGTACCTCAAACTTTGGAGGCTTTCATCGATTTCATCGGTCAAGTCCATAAAACTAAAGAGCAGTTTGGACAAGATGGTCCAATCACTGTACACTGCAGGTACAGTTCTGAACATTCATGGTCTTGTTCTGGTGAATTTTTATTGAGGTGGTTCTGATGCGGATCGTTGTGAGATGAAACGTTGAGCAGTTTTTAATATGTAGTGATTTAACACAACAGTTTAGATGAAAGCAATTGATTTCTAGTTTATAAAGTCACCATTATTTCAGAAAGAGTCATAAATGTCAGAGTGTGGGTTCATGGAGCAAAATGCAGAAAGCCAGAGTGGAGCAGCAGGGTAGAAATTCATGCTCAATTCAATTTATCTCTAGATTATTCTATATAACTCCAATTCACACTATCGTCTTATCTCACGTCACTTTACAGAGACAATTCAACCAGATCATCCAGTCAGATTGATTCAAAGTTTTCTATCTAAGGAAAACCAGCTGATTGCATCGACTCATTGACTCTTCAGCAATCCCTCACACTAAGCATGCTTGTAGCGACAGTGGAGAGGAAAAACTCCCTTTGAACAGGAAGAAACCTCCAGCAGAACCAGGCTCAGTGTGAGCGGCCATCTGCTGAGGCCCACTGGGGTTCAAGGAGACAGAAGCAGACATAGAAAAAGAAGCATAGATACAAAAGGCAACTGTCAACCAGCTCCACAGGCGGCCCCGTCCAGGAAACACACAGCCAGGCAGACGAGCTCCGAGCCAGCTCCCATGTCAGAGGATGAAGAGAGCACATCCAGTTAGTCACAGTCAGAGAAACAGGACTACACTGGAAAACAGGCCAAGCTCCAACATCTAGAAACAAAGGTGTTGATGGCAGCAGCACAGCTGATATTTCTCTCCAGGATGGAGTCACAGCCAAACAGGAACAGACCAGATGAAGCTACTATGAGAAAAAGCAGAGAGAGCAGAACGTTAGAGATTGAACTAACAGATTCTGCAGAGTGGGAGAATAGAGATAGAATGAAGCAGAATGATGAAAAAGGGGTCCCTATGTCCTCCAGCAGTCTAAGCCTATAGCAGCATAAATATAAAGATAGAATGAAGCAGAGTGAGGAAAAGAGTAAATTTAACCAATTTCTAGAGTAATCTGAGATTCTTCAGAAAGATAGCAATTTAATCTCTCCAGAGAGCGAAGATTTTGAGAGCCGGAGAAAGAGTAGTACATCATCTGCATAAAGACTGATTTTATGTTCTATATTCCTGCTGATAATACCATTAATATTATTAGTGTCCCTGATTGTTTCAGCTTGTGGTTCAATAATTGTAGCAAACAATGAGAGAGAGAGCGGGCAGTGCCCCTCTGCAGATTAAATCTAGAAGAAGTTGAATTATTTATACTCTTATATTTCGTTTTTAGATTTTTAGATAATAGCCAAACAGATGTAAAAGCAGACCATCATGGTTGTTGCCACCAGGTGTGAAAAGTGGTTTGAAACTGTGGTGAAAAGGATTTGGGAATAAGACTGTATAACACGGAGAAGGAAAGTGAGGCGAGAAAGGCAGAGAGAATAAGAATTAAGGGGAGAGAGAAAGAGAGATAGAAAAGAGCAAGAAGTCAGGAAAGAAAAGAGAAAAACGGCAGAAGTGTAGAGTAACCTGAGTTACTCTAATGTTCTAATGATATGTTTGTTTACCTATTTCTCATTTTTGCCAATGATAAATAGTAACCTATGAATTGTATCTTTAGCGCTGGGGTCGGACGGACCGGAGTCTTCATCACTTTAAGTATCGTGTTGGAGCGAATGAGGTACGAAGGCGTAGCTGACATCTTTCAAACCGTCAAGATTCTCCGAACTCAAAGGCCAGCCATGGTTCAGACAGAGGTAAAACTTTCTTACATCTGTTCTTGATAAAAACTAGATGTCAGCGTTTGGTCACATGCTGTCATGTTTCCATGGATAAGGAAGGTAAGTTTTAGGATCACTTCCATGATCAATTATTCGTCTTTGGGCCACAGTTAGACAAGATGAGCCACGTTCAATAAGTAATGCCCCTGACCAACTCCTGGTTCTTTGATCCAACTGAAATTTTACAATTATTTATATCTCTATAGATTAAGCAGGAAAGCTCTGAACTGACTGTGGTTTTATAACTTACAGCTGTTTGAACTGAGGAAAGTCTGACATGGAGCCTGTTGAGTTTCAAGCAATGATCCGGGTTTTGTATTTGAAAGGACGCACACAACTGGAGACTTTTGATAATTTATGGGGAAAATGCCCCATCATATTACCTTTTCAAACCTTTTGCAAGGTCATATAAGGAGGCATTCTCCCCATAAGTTACGATCGTTTCATCAAAAGTCTCCCGTGATGTGCGTACTTTCAAATACACAAACCTAGACTCAGTTCAAACGCCTTAAAAAACAATCAGTTCAGAGCCTTAATTAGCTGTAATTATCTATATACCAATTAAGCTATAGAGATATAAATAATTGCACATGCAAAATTTCAGCTAGATCAATCAACTGGTGCGTAGGTTTGGTATCCAGAGCAGAAAGTTAAAGAGGGCAAAGTGGTGGGAGGTAAAAGGATGAAAGGGAGGAGTAAAGACAGGCTCCAGGTAACTGAGTAGCTACAGCTGAGGCTGTGTTCGAGTTAACGCAGATATGAGCCATAAGACTGTATGACGGTAAATAGATTTCCATATCAGTGAACTAAACTTTCCCTAAATTCATTTCCATGTTTCTGTTTTAATCCGTCTCATTTCGGTCTGCAGGAGCAGTACTACATGTGCTACAGGGCGGCTCTGGAGTACCTGGGAAGCTTTGAAGTCTATCCAGTGTAACCTGACCAACAATCACACCTTCTCAGCAAGGTGGAGAAAGGCTGCAGCGGGGGGAGGAGAAAGGCTGCAGCGGGGGGGAGGAGAAAGGCTGCAGCGGGGGGGAGGAGATGATCCCTTCTGTCTGGACTGGTGGTATATGGCTGTTACACCAATGCCTTCTCCTTCTCCCCCCAACCCCCCCCCCCCGTCTCTCATATCAACAGCATCTAGAGTTATTCTGGTCCTGTAGGTCCTCAAGTGTCCTTCCCCTTCTATAAGTTGCAGCACAGCTTGATCCAACTTGCAGGTCATCAGCAGGAGAACTTCCCTCTCTGTAATGGAACCAGTAAGGTCAAGGAGTAGAAATCCCTCGGTGCTCTTCTAGAACCTCTGGAGATGAAGAAGATGGACAGCAGTGAGCATCCTCTTCATCAGACTGACACCACCAGAGGGTCTTCAGTCAGAGGCTGATCCAGATTTGCTGTAGACAGACCTCTACAGGTGATCCTTCCCGCATCTACATCACCTGGTTTGAGAAAAGACAATAAGCTGCTTCAGCATTAACTTCCTTTTGGGATTAATGAAGTATTTTTGAAATAAATGAAAATGATGTTCAGGAACCCAACAGCAGGATGGATCGTCTCTCCTGCTTCTGTTCTTTGCTGTGGAAATGCCTCCACAGCTGGAGATGAAGATCAGTCATGTTTACTGAGACCTTCATGTAACTGCAGTAAACCTTCTCAGCCAAACTCTCCATAGATTTCAACCAAATTCACAGAACTGAAGAAGTGTAATAAAAAGTCACTTATTATGTTTCATATTAAATCATATATCATATAATCATATAATATTCGATTTTATATAATTTAATATCATTATCTAGCTTTTTTTCATTATGTGTGTGTGTGTGTGTTTACCTGTCTATCTCTCAGAGTGAGGAGTGTAGAAAGGGTTGAAAATGACTGAAAATCAATGGGAGTCAACACATGGTCCTCACTACATATAGCAGAACAAGTATGGGTGGGTGTGTGTGTGTGGAGATGGGTGTGTGTGTTGGGGGTGTTCCCAGTTGTATCGATCTGGGATGCTTTGGATTACCATTCCAAGACCTTCAACCATTCTGGGACAAAAATGCAATAATTCCTTCAGAATAAATCCCTCTACTTATTTCCTTTCTTTGACATTAGCACCCATGTTGTAACACACCTATGAGGTGTAATCCTGTAAGGTGTGCTGTAAACATAGGAAAGTTAGGACACGTCTCTGATGATTCAAAGCTCTACAAATTCTTCTTGTTTTGTATTTAATTATTTTTTTTGAGATTTCAGAGGTTCTCAATAAATAGTTTTTAATGGATTCCAGTGTTTTTCTCCTGTGTAAACAAAAAAAAAACAAGAAGATGAAAGACTGGAAACGGGGACGGCAGTGACAGGTGGAGATTGACAACAGACTAGATATTTACTTCCTCTGTAGGAGTGACTACCTTAATGTGTCACATGTGGGTTAACTGAATATAAATGGACTCTGTTCCCAGTCAGTACTGGTTAATAAGACCTTGACTTTATTCCAAGTCAGTACTGGTTAATCAGACCTGGACTCTGTTCCCAGTCAGTACTGGTTAATAAGACCTGGACTCTGTTCCCAGTCAGTACTTGTTAATAAGACCTAGACGCTGTTCCCAGTCAGTACTGGTTAATAAGACCTGGACTCTGTTTCCAGTC